CATTAGCACCTCTAGTAATATATTTACTGAGAAAAATGGTGACGTGTTCAATACTTATTTTACCCGCTGTAAGTAACTTTTACTAACTGGTGTTTCATACTGAATTTATTGTATTATAACAGGATTTCAACTGACTGAAATTGAATCCAGATATGAATTGGATTTCTGACTTGGAAGTGTTTTTTTTTTTTCTGTTTTGCAGAGTTCCTAGAAAAAAACTTTCGCTGTGAACTGGAAMTGTATAAAAATTTTAATCAAATTGCTTCTAATTCACTTACTGGAAAAAAGCATGTAAAATAAWGTGTTTCTTACCATCTGATATCGTGCTCGTGAGCGGGCACTCTGGAAGCGAGAAAACTCCCTGCGATCATGTACGGTGATGATCAGTTTCCAAGCAATGAGCAGAACCACTCCAACCAGCAAAATGCTGCCAACCACAGCAGACAGAACCATGACGGCTTCTGGTTTCCCACCACACTCTGCGCCAGGAGGGGAAACATTATACAACGGGTTATACATTATGCACAGTTTTATTTTTTAAACTTTATAAGACTTGAGCACAACTTAAAGAGTGTAATTTTCCACCAAATCTTAAGGCTTTAAAACCAGTTAGATTCCATTAAGAATTAAAAAAGTTACCTACTCAGCAGGTTGATTCAAACTCAGCCCAGTAGTTTGTATGAAATCTCAGAACAAAATGTTTGCATTTTATATAGTTTAGTCACTTGTGCTCCAGAACTTCCTGTTTTCACACTCATCACAATTCAATCACCAGAGTTGTTCATTAGAGTTGGAGCTCCATCTAGTGAAATATTTAGTGTGAAGAGCGAACGCTTTGACCAAGTGTCATAACTAATAAACTGATTTACTATTACTTTATGTTAAAATTAACTAACAGAACAAGTGTTTCATGAAACCAAAAACACAGAGATGTTTGTTGTTTTTAAACGACCAATCTGTTCTGTCTTAAAGGGATCCATGATTAGTTGTAACATTAGACTTTATATAATAAACATGTATTTTAACTGTAAAATAAAGACTGTAAAAATACTGTAGGCTGTTTAGTTTTTATCATTTTTAAACTAGAAGTTTAAAAATATATTTAACACGGACGGAGCCATTTTATTTGCACACAAAGCATTCTGGGTAAATGATGACGTGGATAGGTCCTCGGTGCGAGGCTGCTAGCGAGCTATATCCACCCTGAAGGTTAATCTTGGACAATTTTTTTAAATTCTTTATTCATTTTCAGTTAAAAACAACAAAAAGTACTTCAGACAAAGGA